GAAATGGATTATCTTCTAGAGCTTCCAGAAGGAACAGCCTGCCCACCATTTGATGTTAGCTGGCCACGATCCGTTATAGACTCCTGACCTCAGAACTACAAGAGAATAAATAATTCGTGTTGCTTTAAGCCACTGTATTTGTGGACATTTGCCACAAATACAGTAGAAATTAGCCACACCCAGCTAATTTTTTTTCTTTCTTCTCCTTCTTCTTCTTTCTTTCTTTTTTTTTTTTTTTTTTTTTGTATTTTTAGTAGGGACAGGGTTTCACCATGTTGGTCAGGCTGGTTTCAAACTCCTGACTTCAAATGATCCGCCCGCCTCAGCCTCTTGAAGTGCTGGGGTTACAGACTGGCTTCTTGCTAGGAGAAAAACTTGACCATTGAGTGGAAGAAGCAAGGAGCGAGCAGGTAGGGCCCAGATGTGGCTTTGGATGGGCAATGAGGTAGCACAATGTTCCAGGAGAGCATCAGCACGGGGGAAGGGCAGTGTCTGGGAGCCCAAGGGTGTCCCTGTGTCCAACAGCTTGGGCCATAGTAACGAAACATACCTCAGACAACATTTATTTCTCACAGTTCAGAAGGCTGGAAGTCTGAGATAAGGGTACCCAAGGCTGGGTTCTGCCTTCTCACTGTGTCCTCGAGGGGTGGAGGTCCAGGGTCCAGGGTCCCTTCTGTAAGGGCGCCAATCCCATTCATGAGGGCTCCACCCTCATGGACTAATTACCTCCCAAAAGCCCCACCTCCTAAAGCCATCACGTTGGGGCTAGGACTTCAACAGATGAATTTGGGAGGGGGCACGAACATTCAGTCCATAGCTCCCCAGGCAACCTTGTGTGGCTTCTTCGCCACTAACAGTGAGGCTTGGGGGCACCTACCCAGCCCCTCCATCCTTCAGAAGCAGAGCTTCCTAACATTCCTCACATCCGTCATGGGGACGATGGCATTGATATACAACACTGGACCACAGGGAGGGAACCAGGAGACGTCCACAGGATGCCTGGTGAAAAAAAAAATTACAATTTATTTATCTTATATAATTATGATAAGAAAAAATGACATATTAAGTATTAGGAAAGATTTGTGTAAAACATCCAGATGAAACCTCCTAAACTCAAAATGAGAAATGAGCTTGATTTGGTGAGCACAACTTTTTAATATCAGATTTTTTTTTGCATGAAATGACCACAAGCAATTCCTATTTAAGGCTCTTTATTTTATTTCTTTATTTATATTTTTTAGACCGAGTCTCACTCTTTCACCCAGGCTGGAGTGCAGTGGATAGCGCCGCTCCCATCTCCAGGATCCGCCGTCTGTGGGCAGCATCAAGGTCTGCCTTGAGGTGGGACTGCTTGGGTTTCAGAGCAGGGTCCCTCCCTGTTATTTTCTGACAGGCGATCTGAAGCATAGCTGGGTGGTAACACGGAGCTGTTCAGGGACTTTGTTTGCAACCTGGGTGCATCTGATCTTGTCTTCCTGAGGATGATGACCGTTCAGTGCTCCTTGACATCCTGAGGCCGTATGCAATGAATGATTTCATCAGCAGCATAGCCACTGAGCACAGTCATGCTCCCTTTGTGCACCAGCAGTGGAAAGAGTGAGACTCGGTCTAAAAAACCATTGCACTCCAGCCTGGGTGAGCTGACTCACTGCGACCTTCACCTCTCGGGTTCAAGGGATTCTCCTGCCTCAGCCTCCTGAGTAGCTGGGATTACAGACATCCAATGCCACGCCTGGCTAATTTTTGTATTTTTAGTAGAGACAGGGTTTGGCCATGTTGGCCAGGCTGGTCTCGAACTCCTGACCTAAGGTGATCCACCTGCCTCAGTCTCCCAAAGTGCTGGGATTACAGGTGTGAGCCACCACACCCAGCCATTTTTGTATTTTTAGTAAAGACAGGGTTTTACCATGTTGGCCAGGGTGGTCTGGAACTCCTTATCTCAAGTGATCCGCCCATCTCAGCGTCCCAAAGTGCTAGGATTACAGGCGTGAGCCACTGTACATAGCTCATGAAGGCTCTTTAATGATGATTTCTTCAAATGTTGGATAAACAACACCTACAGAAAGACTTAGCTCAAGTAGGCGATAGTTTTGGTTGGTTCATTTGTTTTTGTTTTTTGAGACAAGGAAAAAATACAAAAATTAGCTGGGCATTGTGGTGCATACCTATAGTCCCAGGTGCTCAGGAGCCTGAACTGGGAGGATGGCTTGATTCTGGGAGGCAGAGGTTGCAGTGAGCTGAGATGATGTCTGCACAGCAGGCTGGGTGACAGAGTGAGACCCTGTCCCAAAGAAAAGAATTAACCCTCAATATTTACTCTCAATGACAACTGTAACTTTTTTTTTCAGGTGTAGTGACAGGGTCTTTCTATGTTGCCCAGGCTGGTCTTAAACTCCTGGGCTCAAGCGATTCTCCCTCCCAAAGTGTTGAGATTACAGGTGTGACCCCAGCCTGTAACCAAAATTCTTATGATAATGAGAATAATTGATTGAGAATCTAATCAAACTGTCTTATTTATTTTTATTTTCACCGCGATTATTATTTAGAGACAGGGTCTTGCTCTGTCAGCCCGGCTGGAATGCAGTGTTGTGATCATGGCTCACTGCAACCTCAAACTCCTGGTTTCAAGTGATCCTCCCACCTTGGCCTCCGAAAACCACTGGGATTACAGATGTGAGCCACTGTGCCCGGCCTCAAGTATTTTAAAATAACGCTGCACTTAGAATTACCAGAATGTGTATATGTGGTTAGAGCAGGCAGCGTGGGTGCCCCTAGAAAGCCACGTTAGCTACAAACAGGGAGCCGTGTGCAATATACAAGACAGATTTCCAGGTGGCCCCCTGAAACCATCCCTCCCGGTTTCCTGGACCACCCCAGGCCCACCCCAACTCTAGCATCAGCTCACACCTGCTGTCGGCCATGCATGCAAACACTGTGGGAGACCTGCAGGGTAAGTCACCTCCATCACTGGACCTCCCTAATCCTGCCACCCACCTATGGCATTCCCTGGGGAGTCTCTGCAAGGTCTTCCAAAGGCTACCAGCCTGGGGTCTCCAATAGCCCCAGGCCCAGCCTGACAGCAAGGGTAGCAATATCCTTCCCCACTTTTTTTTTTTTTTTTTTTTTTGAGACGGAGTTTCGCTCTTGTTACCCAGGCTGGAGTGCAATGGCGCGATCTCGGCTCACTGCAACCTCCGCCTCCTGGGTTCAGGCAATTCTCCTGCCTCAGCCTCCTGAGTAGCTGGGATTACAGGCACGTGCCACCATGCCCAGCTAATTTTTTTTTGTATTTTTAGTAGAGACGGGGTTTCACCATGTTGACCAGGATGGTCTCGATCTCTGGACCTCGTGATCCACCCGCCTTGGCCTCCCAAAGTGCTGGGATTACAGGCTTGAGCCACCGCGCCCAGCCTATCCTTCCCCACTTTATCTTATTTTCGACAATCCAGCATCTCCACCCAGACCAACAGAAAAGGAGCCTGATTCATCCAGAAGAGAAAGGTCAAAAAACATTTCCTGACCCCTCCTCCACCCCCTACACCCACCCCTGTGAGAGGGCTAGCCTGGGTTCCAATCCCACTCCTCCACCTACAAGCTGGGTAACTCTCCGAGCTGATAACGTCTCCGAGCCCCAGTCCCCACCTCTGTAAAATGGGGACGGTAGTATCTGTCTCATGAGATTGTATGAAGGTTATGTAGACAATGCAGGTAAGTGGCTGGCACAGGGCTCCACCCAGGGCAAGCCTGAGTCAATGCTGTTTCTAGGTCTGTGATAAAGAGACCCTCAGACACAAAGACCACTAACAGTCACACACACACAGATACACAGACACAGACGCCCGAAAGCCACAGTGAGCTCATGTGTGGGCACACACATGGGAGGCACAGATCTGTCGGCCCCATGGAGATGCCCTAGCCCAGTCCCAGACCCCACCCCTTTTCCCAGACAGGAGCCATCCAGCTGCTGGATCTGACCTGCCCTTGGGAGAGCCTTGGGCATCAGAGGGAGCACGTTCAGCTCCTCCTCTTTGATGTGTCTGTGGAGGATGGCTGGCCAGGTTCCTGCAGGCACTCTGGAGGCCCAGACTCCAGGTATGAAACCCCATCATCCCACCCCTTTAATTCATTTCACCCCCTTGCTGTCAGTGTGCAGACACCTTTCTTTTTTGACTAGGGGAGTAGAGGTGGAGCTAGGAGAGGGTTGCCATCCACAGCCCACAAACACACAGGCACACCCACAGAGACACAGGCAGTCTGACACAAGGACTCCTGCAGCACTCACAGGCCACAGCTCCCACTCAGGCAACCCGTCAAATCCAAGACCTCTGCCTGCAAATCCAGGATGTTCCATTCCCGGTCATGTCCACACTAGCACCATCCCCACCATCACCACTGCCATCCCCTCTGTGACCAGTACCCCCTCGACCACCAGCAGCCACCGCCACCGCAGCACACCACCACTGGTGAACTGATGGAGGAGCCCTCTGGGATTCTGATACAGCTTGGAGGAGACCCCCAGTGGGAAGGGCAGAAGGAGGGCGACAAGCTTCCTAGGAGCCCAGAGGACAAGGTCCAGGAGTTCAGGCCTCTGCAGCAGCCGTGGACTCTCCAAACTCCAGCCCTGCTGGAGAGTGTCTTCCCAGCCTGTGTCTGAGCCTGCCCTCTCCCGCCTCTCCCTCCCTCCCACACCCACAGAAAGCTGGTCCCTAGCAAGAGCTAGTGCTGGAGGTGGAGGCGGCTGCAGAGAGAGAAGCCTAGGAGGGAGGGGCACAGCTCTGGCTGAACCCACAGGATTGGCCAATCTGCACCCTCTCGGCCAGCACCTCAGTAAAGAGTCCTCAAAGCAACAGTGCCCTTAGCCTCTGCTCTGAGCTCTGCTGGTCCCAGCCAGGAGAGCCCGAGTCATGAGGTGGGCACCCAGTGGGCAGGGTGGGCTGCAGGGGCCTTCTTGGAGGCAGTGGTGAGTTGTGAAGGGGCGGCCGGGCCCCGCAGCGGGCACGATGGACAAGTTCCGGATGATCTTCCAGTTCCTGCAGTCCAACCAGGAGTCCTTCATGAACGGCATCTGTGGCATCATGGCCCTGGCCAGCGCCCAGATGTACTCAGCCTTCGACTTCAACTGCCCCTGCCTGCCAGGCTACAACGCGGCTTACAGCATGGGCATCCTGCTGGCACCACCCCTGGTGCTCTTCTTGCTGGGCCTGGTCATGAACAACAACGTGTCCATGCTGGCGGAGGAGTGGAAGCGGCCACCGGGCCACCGGGCCAAGGACCCTGCCGTGTTGCGCTACATGTTCTGCTCCATGGCCCAGCGTGCCCTCATCGCACCCGTCGTCTGGGTGGCTGTCACACTACTCGATGGCAAATGCTTCCTCTGTGCCTTCTGCACTGCTGTGCCTGTGACCGCACTGGGCAATGGCAGCCTGGTGCCTGGCCTTCCTGCCCCCGAGCTCGCCCGCCTGCTGGCCCGAGTGCCCTGCCCTGAGATCTACGATGGTGACTGGCTGCTGGCCCGAGAGGTGGCTGTGCGCTACCTGCGCTGCATCTCCCAGGTGAGGGGGCCCCGTGGCCTCAGGCTGGGTCTCCCTGGTAGATCAAGGTCCCTCTAGGAGGACCCTATGCCCCCACCTCTAAAAACGGGGCCTCTGCTCAAGTAGAGCTCTGAAGGGTGGGGGGCATCTTCCCAATTGAGGCTGAAGGCAGAGCCACGCATCTGCCGTCAGCCCAGTGCCATCCGGAGAACGTGCTTCAGCTCCCTCCATCCAGAGGCTTCTGGTGAGTAGGCCTGACCCCTGTCCTGAGGTCTCCAGAGTGGACCCACATCCCATCCGGATCGCTGAGCTTGGAAGCTGGAGGAATTTGCATCCTTTCTCTCTTCCAGGCCTCGGCAGTGGTGAGGCCAGTGGGTGGCTAGGCCATTTGGGTACATTTCCCTGGCAAATGCCCCCATCTGGTGCTTCCCTGGTGGGGAGTGGGAGCTGAGGACCAGGTGTCCTGGAAGGGAGCACGTGGGTGAGAGAGATGCCCTGTTAGGATGTGACGGAAGGCAGGTTGGAAGGCCCACTGACGGGGCAGCCGGAGTGAGAGTCCTCCCAGCCCTGCTCCCACATCCTCTGCCCCTCGGCACTTACCCGTCCAAGCCTCTCGGGCTTCCTCCACCCCCGTCAGTGCTGTGTGAGGAGGACCGCCCAGGCAGCCTGCCCTCGCGGCTGGCAGACCAGGTGCCATCAGGGAGAGGGGCTGGAGCCAGCCTACCTTGCAAGGGCTGGAGAAACGTGCACACTCTGCCCTGGCAAGTCCAGACACCCCTAACTTCCCACTCTAGCAGGGGCATCTCTCCTGGGAGGCCGCCATCACCACCCAGATAGCCCTGGTGAATGTCACACTCTGAACATTCAGACTGAACTCTGCCTCCCTCTCCTCCCAAGCTGTGCCTCCTCTCCTGTGGACACTCATTCCGTCATCCCCAGCCTCAGGGCTTGGCCAGCTGTCCCTCCACCTGACCTTTAAGCTGCCACTTCATAAGCTGAGTGGGCCCCAGAGGCCTCTACATGTTTCATTTGGCCTTCAGAGACTAAATTCTAGATTCAGCTTTAGAATTTGTTGGCATCTTATACAAACCAGAATGGGCCGGGTAAGGTGTGGCTCATGTCTGTAATCCCAGCACTTTGGGAGGCCAAAGTAGGAAGATCGCTGGAGCCCAGGAATTCAAGACCAGCCTGGGGAATATAGTGAGACCCTGTCTCAAAAAAAAAAAAAAAAAAAAAAATTAGCCAGGCCTGGTGGCACATGCCTGTAGTCCCACCTACTCAGGAAGCTGAAGTGGGAGGACTGCTTGAGCCTAGGAGGTTGAAGCTGCAGTGAGCTGTAATTACACCACTGCACTCCAGCCTGGGTAACAGAGCAAGACCTGCCTCAAAAAAAAAAAAAAAAGTATATAATAAAAATCTGAACTTTTCACATAAAAATCAGATTTCATTTCTGCCGGGCACGGTGGCTCAAGCCTGTAATCCCAGCACTTTGGGAGGCTGAGGGGGGTGGATCATGAGGTCAAGAGATTGAGACCATCCTGGTCAACATGGTGAAACCCCGTCTCTAATAAAAATACAAAAAAAATTAGCTGGGCATGGTGGCGCGTGCCTGTAATCCCAGCTACTCAGGAGGCTGAGGCAGGAGAATTGCCTGAACCCAGGAGGTGGAGGTTGCGGTGAGCCGAGATCGAGCCATTGCACTCCAGCCTGGGTAACAAGAGCGAAAATCCGTCTCAAAAAAAAAAAAAAAAAAAAAAAAAAAATCAGATTTCCAAGATGGAAATCCAGAAGATCCAGCCCCACCAGGCCTGCGTGTACTCCTGGAGCAGCCTGGGGTGCCCATGGCCTGTGCACACGCTCAGCAGCTCCCCACCCCATCTGCTCTGTCATGACCTGCCCGGCCCCATGATTAGCATCTGACTTTTCCCTTAGCCCCAGTCTTGATCTGCCCAAATGTATCTCTGTGTGGCTGGGGCCTAACCCTGAAGTGGGGGCCAAGGGAGCATCCTGCCCTGTGCCCTACAGTGAACTGACAGAGCAGAGCTAGAACCAGGTGCAGGGAGCTCTTCCGCAGAGCTTGAGTTCTTGCCTGATTCACCTCCATGACCCCTGAAGACCCAGCTCAGAACCGACACAGAGGAGGTGCTCACTTGGCACTGGTGACAATACCAGGAGCCAAAGGATAGGTTCAGGACCCAGAGGAAAAAGGGCCACTATGGCCTGGGGAGATCAAGGGAGGCTTCCTGAAAGAAGAGACACAGTAAGTGAGGGCCTACTGGCACAACCGTAATGGTTAATAGTCACTGAACACTGGGTGCCAGGCACAGTGCTAAGCTTATCACATTCAGTCCTCACAGCAACACTGAGATAGTTGCTACCACCAGCTGCGTTTTATAGGTGCAGAAACTGAGGCACAGAGAACTTGAATGCTTTACTTCTGAGCAACTAGTAATTAGTGGAGACAGCATTCAAACCCAAGCAGCCCATCTCCAGGGTCTGCCACTTAACTCCTGCGCCGGGAGCGCCACATCAGCACGGTGGGTGCTTTACCCATGTGATCTTCTTTCCATGAGGTGCACCTATTTCCATTATTTTGATTTCTATGCCCATTTTACAGATGAGGAAATAAAGGCCAAGCAGCAAGCTCACTTGCCCAGTTTATGCTCTTTGCCCTAGAGGCGCGGGCATAGAGCGTGCTTTGGGAGTCAGGCTGGGTGCGGTGGCTCATGCCTGTAATCCCAGCACTTTGGGAGGCCAAGGTGGGTGGATCACCTGAGGTCAGGAGTTCAAGACCAGCCTGATCAACACGGAGAAACCCCATCTCTACTAATAATACAAAATTAGCTGGGCATGGTGGTACATGCCTATAATCCCAGCTACTCAGGAGGCTTAGCAAAAGAATCACTTGAACCCAGGAGGTGGAGGTTGTGGTGAGCCAAGATGTGCCTTTGCACTCCAGCCTGGGCAACAAGAGCAAAACTCCGTCTCAAACAAAAAAGAAAGAGTGCTTTGGGAGTCTGAACAGGCTCTGAGGCCCGAGGCCAGTGCCCAGTGACTTTCTGTTGTCTCCCCACAGGCACTGGGCTGGTCCTTTGTGCTGCTGACCACACTGCTGGCATTCGTGGTGCGCTCCGTGCGGCCCTGCTTCACACAGGCCGCCTTCCTCAAGAGCAAGTACTGGTCCCACTACATTGACATTGAGCGAAAGCTCTTCGATGAGACATGCACAGAGCACGCCAAGGCCTTTGCCAAGGTCTGTATCCAGCAGTTCTTCGAGGCCATGAACCATGACCTGGAGCTGGGTCACGCCCACGGGGCACTGGCCACGGCCCCTGCTTCCAAGGCTGCCCCCATGCCCCCTGACGGTGGGGAGGAGGAAAGGGAGAAGCTGCGTGGCATCACGGATCAAGGCACCATGAACAGGCTGCTCATGAGCTGGCACAAATGCAAACCGCCTCTTCGGCTGGGCAGGGAGGAGCCGCTGCTGATGGGCAATGGCTGGGCTGGGGGCGGGCCCCGGCCTCTGCGCAAGGAGGTGGCCACCTACTTCAGCAAAGTGTGAAGAGGCAGGAATGGGGGTCTGAGCCCACAGCCCCTCTGACCCCCAAATCAGGTGGAAGAATGAAGGCTTTCAGTGCTGGGCACTAGCCCACACTCCCTGGCACACGCCTGCCCGTAGTAGGCAGGATATCTGGAGCTGGAAGGGGACCTCACAACCTCAGCTGTGACACTGCCCTGGATGGCCCTGGGGCAGTGGGCCCATGAGCAGTATTAGTCTAAAGGGGTCAGAACTGTCATGGCGGACACAGGGACCGATGGCTCCACTCTGCCCAGTCCTTCCCAGGCTGATGTTCACTGTCTCCTCCCAGGTTCGACAGACATCCCTGCCCCAGGGTCCACTTTCATCTGTGGCTTTTTAGGACCTCTCTTCCTTTCTGCTCAGGGCCTGGGGAGTGGGAAGCACCCAGGCATCTCATGAAGTGGGAGCCCTCTGATTTGAGCAAGCATGTCCTAAGTGAGACTGAGTGGGCTGGGGCAGGCGATGAGATGTGATGTCAGAAGCTAGGTTCACGTGGGAGAGGCCAGATTGTGTGGTAACCACAGGGTCACATGACAATTGTCCAGGTGGACTGTCTATTTAGCACCAAGCACAAAAGTCCACCCGTAGAGGGGTCATTGAAGACTACCCTAATGCCCCCTTCACATCCAGGTCTCAGGTGGAAATCAGACCACCCCCAAGGCTTGAGAAGCTAAAGTCTCTCCATTTTTCTCAAAGACCCCACCCCTTGGAAAGGGAGTTCTAAGAGGCTAAGAGGAGCTCCGAGGCACTAGCCCAGGCGGGATGAGGGTGGAGGAGAGCAGCGTAAACGGGAAGCAGCTGATTCCAGAGTGGGACAGAATTGGGTCAAATGCTGTCTCTACTACTCACAAACTCTGTCCCTGGGCCAGCTGCATCACTGCCTGTGCCTTGGTTTCTTCATCTATACAATGGGGGTGAGGGCCTTCCCGTCATGGCGTTGCTATGTGTAAAAGCACATGGCACATGGTAGGCACCCAGCACATGGTAGCTAATGTGTTTGCTGATTTCTGAATCCAAGGATTTCCCTCCTCCTTCCCTGGGCAGGGATGAGAGACAGCAGCACAAACGCTCGAGCTTCCATCTTTTTGGGGAGGAGGAAACAGAGGTACAGATAGCTTTCTCATCACCGCCCTCAAATAGCTCTAAGACGTAAGTCCCAAGCATCTAAGAATTCATTTTGATCTTGGCCATGATTCCATCCTTTCTTTTTTTTTTTTTTGAGACGGAGTTTCGCTCTCGTTACCCAGGCTGGAGTGCAATGGCGCGATCTCGGCTCACCGCAACCTCCGCCTCCTGGGTTCAGGCAATTCTCCTGCCTCAGCCTCCTGAGTAGCTGGGACTACAGGCACGCGCCACCATGCCCAACTACTTTTTGTATTTTTAGTAGAGTTGGGGTTTTACCTTGCTGACCAGGATGGTCTCGATGTCTTGACCTCGTGATCCACCTGCCTCGGCCTCCCAAAGTGCTGGGATTACAGGCTTGAGCCACTGCGCCCGGCCGATTCCATCCTTTCTTATCCATCCTTCCCTCTATTCCCACTTCTGGGGTCCAGTTTCCCTCCTTTTAATTATTTGGGAGGAGCTGCTCAGATCCTTGTGGGCCAAGGTGGGCTGGGAGGGCTCTTCCAAGAGGTGGGACTTGGTCTGGGCCCTGAAGTGGAAGAGGATTCCGATGAGCAAAAACAAGGTGTGTGTTGGTGGGTGGTGAGCGGGGAGCGGCACTTCCAGTGGGAAGTGAAGGCCGGGAGGTATCAGAAAGTACAGATGTGAAGGAGAGCAAAGCTTTGGGTCAGGCACGCCTGGGTTCAATACCAGCACTGCAGGACCTGTGGCAAGTCACCTAGCCACTCTAAGCCTCAGGGTATCTGTCTGTAGGATGGATATTAGAGACCGGGCGTGGTGGCTCACTTCTGTAATCCAAGCACTTTGGAGGCCAAGGCGGGTGGATCACCTGATGTCGGGAGTTCAAGACAAGCCTGACCAACATGGTGAAACCCCATCTTATTAAAACAAACAAACAAACAAACAAACAAACAAAAAAAACGCCAGGAGCGGTGGCTCAAGCCTGTAATCCCAGCACTTTGGGAGGCCGAGGCGGGTGGATCATGAGGTCAAGAGGTTGAGACCATCCTGGTCAACATGGTGAAACCCTGTCTCTACTAAAAACACAAAAAATTAGCTGGGCATGGTGGCATGTGCCTGTAATCCCAGCTACTCAGGAGGCTGAGGCAGGAGAATTGCCCGAACCCAGGAGGCGGAGGTTGCGGTGAGCCGAGATCGCACCATTGCACTCCAGCCTGGGTAACAAGAGCAAAACTCTGTCTCAAAAAAAAAAAAAAAAAAAAAAAAAAAAGATGGATGTTAGAAGGCCTGCTTGACCGGGTGCAGCAGCTCATGCTTGCAATTCCAGCACTTGGGAGGTCAAGGAGAGAGGATCACTTGAGCCCAGGAGTTGGTGACTAGCCTGGGTAACACAGCAAGACTCTGTCTCTAAAATAATAATAATAAGAAGAAGATTTATAATATATTTTTAAATGAAAAAAATATTTTTTAAAAAAGACCTGCTTTTCAGGATTGTGGTGAGGATAAAGGATAATACCTTTTAGGGAAGGATCTGGGACTGTGTTTGGCACATGCTGGGATCTGAAACAAACAAATAAACAAGCAAAGCCTGGTACGTTTTCTTTCCTTCCTACATGTGGTCAAGCCCAGCTCAGGAAGGCCAGCGCACTCGGCAGCTCCACCATGACGGAACCAAGAGCACTGCAGCGCTGGCAGGCGTCAGGAGTCACCTCCCTCCATGCTAAGGGTCAACCAACCTGTCCCTAGGCCTCACCTCTGCAGCGTTCCTGACCCGTGCGCTTCAGCCCGTATGTTGTGCACTCCCATGGCTGGGGAGCTCATGACCACTTTTAGGGACAGACTGGGCAGCTCTGATTATTACAAAGGGCTTCCTTCAGAAACCTGCCGCCTTGAAATTTCCACCCACCAGTTGGAGTTCTGCCTGCAGGCTTCGGGGGAATCCCAAGGCTCCTGAATTCAATCGTCAATCCTCCAGGGATCCGAAGCAGGTCCCGGGAGTTAGCTATGGGTCAAAGAGCTGGCCGTGGGAATGGTTTGTCCAGTCACTGAGGGAGAAGGGCCATAAGAGGGTGCGGGTCTGGCCCAGAGCATCCTGCGGGGCTCAGCGTGGGACTGACGGCCCCCTCCCTTGACCCTCTCAGGGTCTCCTTCGGCCCGGCGTGGGGTGCTCTTGAAACTGTCATGGGGGGCAGGTCTAGGCCGGATCTCCCCAATGCTTCCACATCCCCACGTGGCCCTCCTCGCTGGCTGGTCACCCTAGTCTCCTTAGGCTGTGGAGCTCGGCAGGGTCCGGGTCCGGGCTGAGGGCGGGGCCAGCAGGGTCCAGGGACGGCGAGGGGCGGGGCGGTGGGACCCTCAGCAGCTGCAGAACAGGCACCGCAACTTCCTCTCGGCTCCCCTCCTCTCGCACCGCCCTCGTCCTCGGGGCCCGCCCTCCTCTGTCTGCGGGCGCCGGGAGGCTGTTTTTCCACTCACTGACGCGCAGACTCCATCCCGCTGTTTTCGTCTCTCTTTTCTGAAGTTAGACTAGTCTGAAGCCGCCACCGGCGCCAGGCCCCCCTGCAGGAGAAAAGCAGGAGGGAGCGACGGAGGGCCTGGCGTGGGCGCACACAGTGGGGCAGCTGCCCTGCACGCCCTCCTGGAGGCCACCTGGAGAGTCCGGCCCCAGGAGGCCACAGCCACAGGTGCCCACAGCTGGCCCCAGGTAAGGAAGGGGCCCTCCCTGGGGTGCGCCAGGTGTCAGGGGAGCATGGTAGGGCCGGTCCCACGCTGCCTCGAGGGAGAGAGCCCCCTAGCTGAGGTTCCCCCCATCCCGTGGGAGAAGGAGCAGTCCTGCCCCTCCCCCAGCCGCCGGTCTCCAGTCGTGACTGATGGTGGAGGAGGTCCCACTGGGGGTCTAGATGTGACCCGTCCCTGGCCTGGGGTCAGTGGTCTCAGAAGAGGGCCTGGCTCATCCTCTGCTCACCTCCCACCCTGTGCAAGTATCTGGTACTCCACTTTGAGCCAGTTTATGAACCCGGGGCACAGGGAGCTAATAGGAGCCTAGACGCCTAGGAGGGAAGAAGATGGGGGAGAGGAGGCTGCCTTTAACCCATTCATCCCCAGCAGTGCTGCAAACTGCCTTACCCAGGAAGTTAGACTGGAAACCCCTGGCTGTGAAGTGGGGGAAGAATCAGATTCCTCCTCCTCCTCCTCCTCCTCCTGTTCCTCCTGGTCCTCCTACCCCAGATTCTTTTCTTGGAGTCCGCATGGCCACATGGCTCTGCCTGAGCCCATCTGGCAGCCCTCCTTGGCAGGGACGGAAGAGGTGATCTAGAGCTGAAGCACGGAGGGGAACAGGGACAGGTCTCTCCGTGTCTGCCACTCACCCCCTCCCTCCACTGGTTAGCTTCCTCTGGCATGGGGAGTTTTGTTTCTCGCCCTCCAGATGGGGAGGACATGGGGCCACACCCTGGCCTGTCTCAGGCTTGTGTGGGTGGAGGCTGGAAAGGGAGTTGGGATAAACTTTGCTGTTGCCCGAGGCCATGGCCACTTCCTGGCAGGCTGCCAGGGTCCGCTGCAGCCCAGACCAAGGCAGAGCGATCTCAATCTCCGGATGGGCTGGGGGCACTGCTCAGCCTTTGCTCTCACCCAGGCTTCCGGTTGCTGGCAGGCGAGATGGAGCGGGGCTGCTGGGAGGCTGCTGGATAGGAGAGGGGTCACAGCTGCGGAAGAGGAGGTTCTCTGGGACACTCGTGGATGAACTCCGCAAGGTCAGGAGGATACAGAAAAAAAAAGGGGGTCACTTAGCGCAGACTCACCCTCGTCCACTCTCCAGGTCTCCGTAGGTTGTGGCTAGAGGTCCTGCTGGGGCACCTCTGTATTTGTTTCGCCTCAGCAAGGCACTTTATCCTCTTCAG